TTTTAAAAATAAATGTTTATATTACATCTCTATACTTTATAACTATTCCATTTTCTTCATCATATTGTGGTGTTACTCTTTGTAGTTCGTGTATTAATTTTTCATCTTCTTTAGTTTTTTAGTTTAGTTTTCGTACTTTTTCTTCTAATTCCTATATTAATTATATTTCATGTTTTTATGCAGCTTCTGTTATTTATTCATTTATAAAAGCCTTTTTTTTTATTATTTTATTTAATAATTTTTAATTTTTTATTAATTTTTTTTTATGTATACTTTGCTTTAAGCTAAATTTCTTTCTTCAGTTATCCTCTTTATTATTTTTAAGAATTCCTTATTTTCTTCATATAATTAATTTAATAATATATTCAAATTTTTATCTCCACAAGAATCAGCTGATTTATATTTGTCTTATTAATAAATATCCTAAGATGTTTATAATGAAGGATTTATTCCATTTATTGCTATTTTTAGAGCTTCTTTATTTAATTTTAAAATGTTATTTAATTCTTTTAAATCTTCTTTTAATTATTGATTTTCTTAATTTAAAAAATCGATTTTTGTTGTTTTTCGATTTAAAGAACAATTTTTTTATTCATTTTCTTATTTATTCATATGTATTTAATATTTTTTTATAATATTGTTTAATTATTATTTTATTAATTATTTTTATATATTTTATTTAAATACTAAATAATAATATATTTTATAAAAATATAAATTATATTTATAATATAAAAATATAGATACAATTTTTATAAATGATATGCGTTAAAATATTAAAGAATTAGGTATATTTTTAAAAAGTAAATATTTATGTATTTATTAAAAAATAAAAAATATTTTATTTCTTCTATTATAATATATAATTTTATAAAAATAAATATTTTTATAGTTTTAAATATAAAATAAAAAAATAAATATACATATTTTAAAAATTATATATATATATATAAATATATAAATATTTATAATATTTTATAAAGATATATTATTATTTATATATTTTTTTATTTTTTTAATTTATAGTGATTTTTTATTAAATTTTTTATTCTACTAATATATACTTGAATTATTATCATATTAAATTTTTCTTAATTCATATTTTTTTTATTTTACTATATTATTTATTTTAATTTAAACATTTTTCATTCATTTTAGATAACATATCTTTTAAGATAAAAACATATTTTTAATTATAAAAATAAATATATTTTTATGTTATAAAATTAGACTAATTTATAAAAATTCATTAATTTTCACAATCGAAATTAAAATAATAATACTTATAATTTATTAAATTAAATAAAATATTTATTTATTTTTATTTTTAAAATTAATTAATATATGGAAAAAAATTACTTAAATTTGTTGCTTTATTGTCCTTAAAAAGTAGGCAAAAAAACATTAATTTATGAACTATGTACTTTAATAGATATATATAATATTATAAAAGATATATTAAAATAAAATAATATCTATTTTTATATTTAAAAAGTTAACGAAAAATATGAATTTGAGATTACAGGCAAGTTTTTTTATTAAATAAATTTAGATAGCAATTTTGAAGAGTATGTAAAAATAGATTAATCAAATATAGATTTTTTTTATTTTTTTAATAAAAGAAAATTATAATAATCCTAATGTATAATTTTTTTATATGATGTTACATAATAAAATACTTTTGAAGATGTTACATAAAAGTTATCTATAAATAAAATTATAATTATAAATAATATATATATTTTTTCATTAAAAAATGAAAGGTACTTATAAATAGATAGTATAGTTGATAAAAAAAATGTTATAATATTTTTGATCGGAAACAAAATAGATTTGAAAGATCAAAGATAAATAGAATATTAACAAGTAATTTTTTAATATAAATATTGCTAATATAAATATATATAATAAAAGGGAAATTCATTTGCATAGAAATATAAATTAATTCATATTGAAATATCATTAGTTTAAGAAAAATATGTAAATTAGTTAAAAAATATGATAAGAACAAAGTCAAAATATTTACTTAAAAAATAATAAAGCATTGAAAATGTTTGCTCAGATATAAAAATATAGATCATAGGTAATCTAATACAATAAATAAATAAATAAATAAATAAATTTAAATTATAAAAATAGAGGAAAGTTAATTAAAAAAAGTATAAGCTAAATTATAAAAATTAATAAATAAATTCATGAATAAGAGAAATAATAATAATAATAAGTCAACCAAATATAAGGTTAAGATTAGTAAATTAATACAGATAATAATACTATATAATATTAAAACAGAAACAGTTATTAAGTAATAGAATCTTTATAGGCTTTCTAAACATCTATATATGATATAAATAAAATATATATTTAATAATAATCAGAAACATAAGACTAATAATAATAATAATAAAATTTATAATATAATATATTATAATAATAAAAAGAATAAATTAATTAATAATAATAATAAGAATAAGAAAACTATAAAACAATTGATTTAAATACAAAATAGCAATAAACAAAAACAGTAGTAGAAAATAAAATTAACTTTTTAGAATAAACCTTTTAAAATAAAATTGAATCTTAGAATTAATATTTGACAACAGATTCATGTAAATCGTAAATTAGTACAGAATTCAATTAATAAAATTAATTAATTTAATAACAATAAAATAATTAAAATGAAAAAAACTACAAAAGAATATAGTTTTTGAAAAATATAGAAATATTAAAATAAATCCACTAAGAAAAAATTCATTTAAAAAATTAAAATAAATGTTCTTGTATTTACGATGAAAAAAGCTAAATGCATAATTGTTAAAAAATTCAAAATAATTCAAAATAATGGAAATAAACTATAAGTTAAAATTAATTTAATAAAGAATTAAATATATAATTAACAGAAAGTAATAATATTCTATAAGATCCGAATTTTAATAATATAAATTAAAATAACAATAAAATTGAATATTATTAATAAAACAATAGTTTACATATTGAAAAAATTAGATAAATACTTATGAAACATATAAAAATATTAATCAAAATAAAGATGAATAACATATTTTAAAAAATAAATATTTTAAAAATTAAACTTAGGAATAAATTCAAAAAAATGATTAATATATTAAAGGAATAACAATAAAACCTATTTAAATGTCTTTAAAATAAAAACTTGAATAAACAATGTCTATGTTTAAAAAAGCTTAAAAAAAAGAAAATAATAATTTAAATGAACTATAAGAAAATGAATCAAAAATGGAAAAAGAAGAAGAATGGTAAAAAGATACACATTAATAATAAAAAATGATAGAAATTAATAATTACAATTAATAAAAAACAAATATAAATATAGAATCTACATAAAATGCTATTAAATTGAAAAAGAATAATGAAGATTTAATAAATAAAATTAATTCTAATTAAAATAAACTATTATAAAAAAAAAATAGTATTAAATTAAATGAAAATAAAACAAATATTGACTATTAATAAATATAATAAAAAAGTTTAAAAACATAAGCTATTAATAATAATATAAATAATAATAATAATAAAATAAAAAGTAAAAAATCAATAAAGATTATATAAATATAAATATATATTTATAAATAAATATATATAAATATATAAAAATATATATTTATATATATATATTTAATTTTTCATTTTTATTTTTTAGTCTAATAAAAGCATAAATAAAAAAATATTTAGATTGATACAAGTTTAAGTTTTTTATAATAATAAGATAAAAATTACAATATAAATCATTATTATTAAATATAAAATAATTTAAATAATACTAATAACAATATTAATATTTTAAAAAATACACATTCTAGAAATAATAAAATAAATATTTAAGAAAAATAATAGGAAAAAACAGATAATTCTTAGCAAATTATTAAATGTTTATAAGAATAATTTAATTAAAATATAAGTTTTAATAATGAATATGATAGTTAAAATTATAATATATAAAACTAATACAAATAAAGTAATCAAAATTACATAATAATGACTTTAGTTGTATAATATAAATAACAAGTAAATATTAATTTTATAAAAAATAAATAAAAATAAATATATATATATATATATATATATATATATATATATATATTTCTAATTCTTATTCTATTTTAAATTTAATAAAAAATTCCTTTTAATTTTATATTTTTTATATTATTTATAATTTAATCTTATAAAATATATATTTTTTTAATAAATATAAAAATATATAATAAATTAAATTTAATTTATTTTATTTAAAGAATTTTTCTGAAAACATATTTATTGATGATGATTCTTTTATGATCGCTGAAAGAATTTTTTATTAAATTCATAAAATTAAACCAAGAATTAATTAAATTTAAAAAATTTCTGTATTATTGCAAAACATGATTAATAATCATATTTAAGATTTAACTAATAAATTAATCAAAGAATGTAGTTTTTATATATATATATAAAAATATATAAATATATATATAAATATAAAAATATATAAATATATATAAATATTTTTTTTTTAATTTATAATTTTATATACATTTATATTTATAATTAATTTTATTTTTTATTTTTTAGAAGATTTTTTAAGTAAGTAAACTTTAATAATTAATGATAATAAAAATAAATTAAAAATTACAACAAATGAAAACTAATTATATAAAAAAAATATTTATGTTAATGGAAAACATAGATATTTATATATTAGACCTAATGATGATCCTTATGAACTTGCCTTTTCATTTATAACTACTTATAATATTAAAAAAGATTAAATAAATTTTATTTTAAACTAAATTAAATAAATATAAAAATAATACAATATGTAATGATATTTTATTTGTATTTCCAATAGATTAAAAACATATTTAATATATCCATTTTTTTGTTTTAAAAAAAATATAATATTAAATATACAATTACCAAAAAAAATAAAATATAATAATAAAAGCATATATATAATAATATAAAATTAATATTTAATATATCACAAATTTTACTTAGAAAAAACCTTCTTTTTTAATAAAATAACATATAAGGTTCTGATGATCCATCAGTATCATATTTTTTATTAAGAATATTAATTTCTGAACAAATAGCATCATTAAACTGATTCCAAGTCCCATCATATGGATTTTTACATTCAGCATAATAGTGTCCTCCATGTAAACCTCCCATATGATTAACAATTCCAATAAGATCATAAGTACAATCTAGTACACTTTTATCATCTATTTTGTATTTTTTATTTATTTCATATTTATTAAATAATAATATATTGCACATAATTTTTGTTATTTATTACTTGAATTTTTAATAAATTTCCTCAAATCAAGATTTTATATATTGAAAGTAATTTTATGCAAAAGCTTTTCTTTCCTGATACTACCGAAATAAAATCTTTTAATATGAATAACTAAAACATCAGGTAGTTTCTAAATTTCGAATCTTCTTTTTGACTTTGTATGATTTTTACATTTTTGACAATAATAGGCATTATCTAAAGGTTCTTCCTTTAAAAATTATTCAATTAACCTTTCTAATTCATAAACAAAATTAAATCTATGATTATTTGTAAAACTTAACGATAAATCCATAAAATTATCAAATGCATATGATTATTTTTCACATTTTAAACAACTAACAATACTTAATAATTATCCTGTAAATATATCAGTTATTATACTATTATCTCTTTCTTTATAATATTAAAACCATATATCAGACTTAATTATAAATGTATAAATGTATAAATGTATAAATTATAAATAAATATATATATATATATATATATATATATATATATATATTAATAATTATTCTAATATAATATATTATATATATATTTTACTATTTTTTATAAGTCTTGTTAATTTTTAGGGTCAGCTTCTAATTCTTTATAAGGCTTTTTTCCTATAACTCTATTTAAATCATCATTTAAATTTTCTAATAAAGTCCTTAAAAATTCTTGGCAATCTTCTTGATTATTGCCTTTGAATTTAGTACATATTTTTTCTATATTTAATTTTTTATTTATTATTTTTACAAATATATACCTATACTAGATTTTAATTCGGATGGATATTCAGGTGTTAATTTATTATTTGTTGCCATTTTTCGTATTAATTTAGCAAATTCATCTGAAACGCCTTTATTTTTTTAGTTTTTTTCCTTTTCATCTATTTTTTATAAAAAATATTCAAGCAATTAGCTGCAATTAAATAGACATTATAAAGCTGAATTTCTTTATTTTATTTTTTTAAAAAAAATAATAATAATATTTCAATTTATAAAAAATATAATTACATATAACATGTATTTCCAATATTTTATAATCCAACCTTTAGAATTTAATTTTTTTATTATTTTTATTTATTAGAATTATTTTAATTATTACTTATAATATTAATCTTTTAATTATTTTATTCATTTTATAATTTATAATATTCTTCTATAGAAGAGTATTTATCAAAAGTTATATTTTTTAATGCTGATTAAGAATTTTATTATAATTATTAGTTATATAGTTACTATTAATTGTTTTTACTATTTCCATAAATATTATTTGAAACCTAATACTTATTTTATTTTTCTTAATATAATTACCTATTATTGTCTTAAATAGCATTTCTTGAATTCGACTAATTTTAATAAGATTATTATAAAGTTTATTTTTCTAATTATTATCTTTCATAAAGTTAATTTTTCTATTAACTTTAAAAAGGATAACAATTTGGTAAATAATTATTATTATTTTAATAATTATTTTATTATTATTAATATTATTATTGTATATAATTTTTGCTATATGAATTATTGTTTTATACTTTATTTGAATAATCTTATTGATCATATTAAGATGCTTAATTATTGTTTATTGGTCTTATTTTAAAATCTTAATTATATGCTTAATTATGTATATATATATATATTTATATTTTTTTTTTTTCTTTAATAATATATATTTACCAATATTATTATGCATTGTGCTTGGATAATGTCTTTGATTATTATATATTGATGACATAAAAATGTTATTATTTTATTTTTATTTATACTTTTTATTTGTATTTGAAAAAATTTAAATATATAAAATTAATAAATATATTATGTTCTTTTATTATTATTTTTTTTTCTAATTATTAATATTATTTATATCTATATTTAATTAATAAAAATAAATAGATTTTTTTTTTTTTTCTATATAAGGAATATTAAAAACTTATGCACTTCTTCTATTTTTTATTTATTTTTGTATTTTAATATAGAAAATTAATAATAATGTATTTTATTTTTTATTATATATTTCAATATAAATATTTTAATAATAAATATATTTATAAATTAAAATTGTCAATATAATATATAAAATTTATAAATGTAATTTTTTAAACATTTCAATTATTTTTAATTGTCTTTTATAAAAACAAAGTTAATTACATCTCTTATATAATAAATATTTTATAATAAAAAAGTAATATTTTTTATATAAAAATATAAAAAATATTAAATTATATTACTTAATCATTTATATAAGACTAATTTAATTCATATATATGATTTTATATTTTATTTTTAATTATAAATCAAAATTATTTGTTATTTAAGGTGAATTTTTAATTTAAACCAATTAAATATTTCTGATTTTAATATAAACAATTTATTAAAAAGTAAATTTAATATAAAAATAAAATATTATTATTTAATATTATTTATATGCTTCAAAGTTTATAAATAAAAAACCTTTTTTAATTTTTTTCCGTAAAATATAAATATGAAATAATATTAAATATTAATTTGATATTTATATATATATTTTTTATTTTAATAAAATTAAAATAAACCTATTTAATGAATTTTTTTTTTTTTTAAAAAAAATTTTATTTTATAATAAAAAATATTTAATATAAATAATATATAAATATAAAGTATTATAATTATACTTAAAAAAAAATATAGATATACTAATAAATTAATAATATTTTTACATATATATTCATTTATATAATATATAAAAACAAATTAAATTTATTCATTATTAATTTAATAAAATTAAAACAAAACAAAAAAAATAAAATAATAATAATATCAAATGTCTGATAAAAGAAAAAGAGGAACTTTATAAACACGAGGAAATATAGATTAATAAGACAAGGAGTTTTAATGCGAAAGTTGTGGTAAGAAATACGCTCGTTATCCATCTTTATATACACACATGAAGGTTAAACATGAGCGAAGTTCAGGAATAAAATCCATATGCCCAAATTTGAAACCAAAGATAAATAGAAATCGAGAAGTAGCAAAGGACGTTCCAATAGTCGAAATATCTGAAGATACATTAAATTTATTTTGTTAAACATAATTTTTGGAATTATTTAAAGAAATAAAAGAATTAGCCTCTAATAATGAGAGTTTATGGTTTTTTATAAGAAGCGAAAAAGAAGATATAACAGAATTAAATTAAAAAATGCTCAAGGAAGGAAATTAAGAACATTTAAAATTTCTTTGGATTACTTATTAAGCTTACGTAAATAAGTGGCCTCCTTAATAATTTTATGATGATTTTATTATGAATGGATATGATGTATAAGAAATATTTAATGAATAATCAAAAAAGCATTATAGAAATTTCTTTGTTATTTTAAAAGAACTTCTTAAACCTATAAGTTAGGATTTTTCTTTGGAAATTTGTTATTTATTTAATAAAATTATCGAATTGAGTCAAGATCATGATACTAAATAAACATTTTATTAAGATATTGAATAAAAAATAAAAAATTATTATAAACAAAATTAAAATAGCAATCTTTTTGTATAAATTAAAAATTTACCAGATTAAATTAGAGATTTGTTCTTTTAAAAGCTTTGTGAAAATATTGCTGGATTATTCAAATGATTTTTTTTTATTATTATAATAAATATAAATTATTTTATTTATTATACATATATATATATATATTTATATGTATATTATATATATATATATATATATATATATATATATATATATTTTTTTTATTTTTTTTTCCTTTTAGTTTTATTGAGAAAAAATAAAATATATAAAGTAAAATATTATTATAAATATATATTATATATTTTTATCTTTTTTAATTTTATTATTTATATTATTTTTCATAAATCGTTATACTTTACGGTATTATATTTTTTGTTTAATTATAGGATAGATTTTTATGATTATATTAAACATTTTTCTATTTAAATTTTTATTTATGTATTTTTTTTAAAAAAAGACAAAAATGTATTTTTTTATTTTTCTTTAAATAACAGTGTTTGTCACTTCTATTTTTTTTTTTTAAAGAATATTTAATTTTTTTTTTCTATTTTTAAGTTATAATTTTTATCATTTTATTTATCTATTTGATTTTTTATATATTTATTTTTGAATTATTAATAAGTTTTTTAAATTCTTTTCTTAAAAAATAATAAGAACTTTTTTTTATTTATAATTATATATATACCTATAAACAATATGAAGTTAATTTTGTTTTGTTTAATTTATATTTTTTAAATTTATAATGTTTTTAATATTATTTAAAAATATAAAAAGCTTAAAATTAAATACATTATATATAAATAAAATTTCATAAATTAAAATATAAATAAAATCAAAACTTTATCTTTTATTATATTTTCTAGCAAATCTCCGGAAATTCTTCTTAATGACTTAAAATAAACGTATTTTTAATAATACTAATATTTTACTTTTCTTATATCTTATATTTTTAATAAAATTCAATCAAATACTAACAAAACCTATCCATATTATTATTCTAATAATAAAGTTCAATCCTCAAAAGCATTAATTTAATAATTTAATCTTCCTAAAAGCCTTCCTCTAAACCTTCCAAAACCTAAAAACAATTAATACAACACTCCAGGCTTTAAAAAAACCGTTCAATTTTTTATAAAATCTGAATTTTTAAAATCATATAACTAATTAAATTTCCATAATCTTTTTTTTCCTAAACCATAAAAATGACACTATTTAATAAATCCAGGCTTTTTTCAAACTAACCCACTTAAACATAAGAATTGATTAAAATATTAAAACTCTAAATTAAAATTTCTTAATTTTTTATATTCTTTTTTTAAATAATAATATTCCCTAATTATTCTAGTCTTTCCCATAAACCTATTTATTTATAAATTTTTAAACTTAAAAACTCACATTTAGTGATTATTTCTTCTAAATTTTCACCTTCTTTATTAATTTCTTTTTTTAATAAAATCTCATCTTTATTTATATTTTCTATATTTTCGAAAAATTCTAAGGCTTTTTCACAATAACTGAGTGATTTTTATAAGTTTTTATTTAAAAAAAATGCATTTCCCAAATAGAAACATGCTATAGCTATTTATATATTTGAAAAATGATCTTTTTTATGACAAATTTCCATGAATTTTTCTCCGAAAAAAATACTTTTTTCAAAATTTTTAACATTCAAGTGTAAAATTAATAAAAAAATATATAAAAAACCTTCCATTTTTTCCTATTATTTTTCCTTTATTAAATTTTCGAAAAAATCCTTAAAAAAACTAAACGAAAAATGTTCAAAATTCTTTATCTTTTTTTCAATTAAAAAAAATTTTTTCTCCTCTAAATTTCTTCTCAAATTTTCCAAAGCAAAAATTTAACCTGAAAAAATTTCCCCTTTAAAAATTTTACATAAAAAAAGCTTTTTTTCAACTAAAAATTGATTATTAATATCATTTTTTTCCATATTTTTTTCGTATTCTTCCTCTGCTTTTTCCCATTCTTCTTTTTCGAAATAAATATCACCTTATTTAAACTTTAAAATGTTTTTTTAACACATAAATTCTTTTTTTTCTAATAAATTTATCACGTTTCTACCTTATTAACCTTCTTTTATTTTAAAACAATTTATACATTCGTTTATAACTTCCTCAGCTTTATCAAAGAAACCTATTTAGCAATAAAAAGTTGCAATATTATATAATAAAAAAGGATTTTCTTATAAAAAAGAAAATTTTCTATAATAAAGAATTGCTTTTTCACCCCAATAAATGGCCTAATTAACTTAATTTAGATGATAGTAAGCATTAATAAGATTAATGTGAGCAGTGAAAACCTAAAAAGAAGTATTAAAGTCAAAGTTTTATTATTGTATATTAAAAACTTTCAAGGAGTAATTTATACTTTCTTAAAAATTTTGAATTTAGGCAAATAAATTAGCTAAAAAGTTCAAAATTTATAAATGCGAAATTTCCTTATTTAAAAAAAATTACATTTATTCGATTTTTTCTTCAGCAGAAAATGCAAATTAAAAGGCTAAATCAAATTTTCCTAATTAGTAATATAAAACTGAAACATCAAAAATACTCTAAATTATATTTTCGGTATTTTCAAATTCATTATTTTACAAAATTTTAATTCTTTCTTCTTAAAAATAAACAGCTTATAATAAATCTTATTTTTCTAAAAAAACTTTAGATATTGTATTTAATAAAAGTTACTTTTTTTATATATTTGATTCATCTAAAATATATTTTTAAGCATTCTTTTAAATATCTGATAAAGGTTTTTATAGTAAATTTATATATATTGAAGATAATTCTTTATTATAATCTTTTAATTATGTAGAAAATAAAAATTTAGAGATTTAAAACAATTTTAATATCATATTTTTATTATTTCTAAAAATAAAGATATAAAATATATCTATAAATAAAATAAAAAAAAATAAAATAAAATATATATGTTATAAAATATAATTATAATTAAAAAAATATTATATATATATATATTTATATATTTTAATTTATATTTTATTTAATTTATACTAATAAATATAGAAATTAAATATTATATTTTATATATACATATTAATATAAATATTATTATAAATATTATATTTTAAAAATTTATATTATTATAAAATAAAAAAATAATATCAACTGTATATAAATTTTAAATATTATTATTTTATTTTCAAATTAATTCACCATAATTCTTTTATTATTTTACTTGAACTTTCTAATTATTTTATCTTTTATTAAGCTTCTTAATCATTTATTTATTATTTATTACTTATAATTTTTTTTAAAATATTAATCACAGCATTACCCATATAAGTGGATCTATTTATAATATATTTATATATACTTATTTAAAAAATATTATAACAATATTATTACCCACAAATATAAATAACAGCATTATTTTAAAATATATCTTCATAAACTATATCTTAATTTTCTAATATTTTGTCTTAAACATAAATTTTATTTTTCTATATACATATAAAAAAATATATAAACATAATTTAAATTTAAAATTCTTAATCTCTTGAAAAAGCTGCATAAAATTTATCCAAAACTCCTTTATTAATAAACTCATTAATTTAATTCTTAAAAATAAAATCACTATCAGCTTTTCTACATCCAAAAAATAGAGTAAACTTCCCAAATTAATCTTAAAGACATTCTTTTTCTTAACAAAATCCTATAAAAGGAGCTACCCCAGTACCTGCCCCTACCATAATAACATTATTTTTCCTATTTTCTGGTAATTTAAAATTCGAATCTCTAAAATCAATTTTAATATTTGGTAAACTACCCTAATTATCTAACTAATTTTTCAAATTCTTAAAATAATTTGAGCATAAACCTTCCTTTAATCCCCAAGATACCTAATCATTAATTAAACTAGCTGTAATATGTAATTAATTATCAAATTTAACTGAAGAAGATGATACAGTAAACAATCTCGGCTTAAAAAAAAAAAAAAAAAGAGAGGATATTTATATATATATATACTAAATAATAATATATAAAAATACATTAATCCTCTAACATAACTAAACAAATTCCCAAAAACCAACTTTAATATTAAAATCCTTAAGTATTTGAAAAATCCCTTTTTTTTCTTCAAAGATTTCTTTCTAAAACTCATTTTTTCCTTATATACCTGCCAAAAACTCTATTTTTTGACTTAAATTTTCATTTTATTAGTGTTATTTTCTATATATTTTGGCCAAATCCTTTAGTGTTTTTTTCATGACTTATCCTTAAAAATCACAAAAAGTCTCTAAAATTTCCCTTGTGGAAATATTTGAAGGAAAAGGTAATTTTATTTTATCTTCCAATTCTCCTTCCCATACCCAAATTTGATTTTCGTCCAAATTTAAATACTGGCATACTTCTGATACTAAAAAAGGGTCATTTTTTGGAAATACACCTACATTTTGAGCTGTTTTATAGTTCATTTTTCCTTCCGAATTTTTAATTTTTATATGAAAAGTGGAACCTTCTTCATTATTTTATCGGATTTCTTATATTTCTTAAATATAACATTCCTTACTATTTATATAAACTTCCGTTTAAAATTAATACTTTAATTTCTCAATATTCTTTAATTGTTAATTATTTCCTTCTTTTTTTTCTCAACAAGTCTTATTTCTTTATCTTCATTCTCAATAAAGTTCTCTTATTTTATCATTACATTAATTTTCTTTAATTCCTCCCAAATATTACTTTTCCATTCATTAAAATCGTCTTCTAGAGAACTATTATCATCTCCTTCTCCATATTTATACACTCTTAACCCTCCTAATCTTTCCAATTCGTTGTTAAGAAGCTTACCCATTGCATTATAATGTTCATATTATGTATTTCCTAGTCCAAAGACTGCAAATTTCATCTAATTTAGCAATTTATTATCCTAAATAGCCTTTATATTCTTAAAAAACTCCTTTGTATTATCCGTAGGTTCTCCCTCTCCATGTGTAGCAACCGTAAAAATGCATAAACTTGTGTTTTTAGTGAAAAAATCCCAATCAAAATTCAACAAATCAATTACTTATCCATTAAAATTATTTAAATTAGCCTCCTCATTTAATATATTGGCTAGTTTTATTGCAGTACCACTTTAAGAACCATATAAAATATAAATATTACCATATGTAATTGATTATCGTTTTTTTTAAATTAAGAAGGATCATTATTTTTTTGTTCAGTTATAGAATTTAATTACTTGTTTTTTAAATAATTATAACCAAAAATAATACTAGAAACGTTATTATTAAGGGTATTAATATATCGTTCATTTTTTATATTTTTTTGTATTTTTTGTTTTTTTAATTATATAGTAAAAAAAATTATTTGTTAAATTTTTTTTTTTTTTAATAAACAAAAAAAATTAATATAATACATTTTAATATAGAATTTTTTATTTTATAAATGGTTTATAAAATAAAATTAATAAAAAAATAGACAATAAAAATAAAAATTATCAATAATATAAAATTATTAAAAAAATATACAATAGTAAAATAATCAATATTTCTTTTAAGAATTAAAATAATATGTTAAATTATAAATTAAGAAATTTTATTAATAAGTTAATTAAATAATATAATAAGTAATAAAAAAATATGTATTAAATATATTATATTAAATAATAAATTATACATAAGACAATTAATGAATATAATTTTGATTAAAAATAATTTATATTATGATTAATTAAAAATATTTTAAATAAAAATTATATATTGAAAAAAAAAGATAAAATAATTATTAATTTAAATATTTTTTATTTATATAATTAATTATAATATATATATATATATATATATATATATATATATATTATAATTTTTTTTTTTAATAATATAAAATTTAAATTAATTTTATTTATTTATAACTTATAGTATTTAATGTAATTATCATATTTTTGGAATACAAATAAAGAAATAAACAATATAACATATTTAGTATTAAATATACCTAATGCAATTAGATATGTAATAATTTATTATTATAATTATTAATAAATAAAGATATAATAAAATATAATTATATATATTATTATATATATAAATTCTTATATATATAAATATTTAATATATAAAAAAGCAACAAATTAATTTAATAAATGAAGATATAAATGATTATGAATAGTTAGAAATATTAAATAAAGAATAAGAAAAATAAATTGAATATAAAATTAATTAAATATTTAAAGAAAAAGATAAAAAAGGAGTTAATATTGAATTCCAATAGTATTTGATTTAAAAAGAAAAACTAAAAATAATGAAAAATTTAAATATAAAAATAGTTTATCTGTAATGGATTAAAGATTGATTTTTAATAAAATAAATATTAATTATAAATAAATATAGGCAGTTAACATATTATAAGGTTCATTAAAGGCATTAAATGTATTTTTTAAAATAAAAAAAAAATAATTAAATATAGTATTGGAGATCAGGATAATATTATTAAGCCTAATAAAATATTTAAAATTTAAAAATAAATTAAATATAATAATATTCATTATAATAATTTAAATATCTATTTAAAATAGTAAATTAATTAGAAATAAAAAGACTATCTATTGATTTTTTCAAGTAAATAAAAATAATATTTATTTAAAATATATAAATATATATAATATATATATTATTTATTTTATATTTATAAGTAATTAATTCACAAAAGATTCTTATGAAAAATTAATTGAATATATATTTTATCTGACTTCAAAAAAAACTTTAATTTCTTTTATATTATGCATATATGAGTAAATAATAATAAAAAAAATAAGTTTTTTTAAAAAAATCGATAAAAAAGACCTTAGTTTTCTACATAAGATATATTTGATTATATTTTTAATAGTTTAGAAAATTTAAAACATAATCTTATAAACTTAAAACATTTAGAATTGCATTTTTGTAAATGGAAATACATATTGGAATGTAAAAAGTTATGTCAGTTTATTAATAATTTTAGTAATTTATAAAGTATTACAATTAATGTAGGAGTAAATGGTTAATAAGAATACAAACTAACAGAATATTTTGTATAAATGTTAGATACATTATCATAACAAAATCCAGATTTAGAAAAATTATCATTACATATTGGACAGTATTTATTATTATTTTCATAAAAATAATAAATAAATATAGAAATTATGAAATAAATAATAGCAATTATTTGTATTAATTATATCCTTTTTTCATAAATCTACATAAAAGATTTAAAAATTTAAAGCATTTCTGTTTAGAAGTTTCTACGTAAAAAAATATTTTTTTTTAAGAGAAAAAAAAAAAAAGACGAACAAAAGTTTTTGAACCATTAATATATCTTTGTTAATCTTTAAAAGCATTTTTAAACGAAAAACATTTGGAAGTATTAAATCTTAATTTTTCACAGTAAAAAAAAAAATTAATATATATAAATATATATATATATATATTTATATATCTAAATTTATAACTTAAATTTTTAATAATACAGATATAATAATTCTAATTATGAAAACTAAGAACAAATAGCTTTTTAATTAATAAGTTCTTTGCAAAATATAAAATCTGTAGATAAGTTTTATCTATCTATTTCTGAGTAAGTTATGTATATATATTCTTTTTAATTGAATATAAAAAAGAATATTTCTTAATCATTAAAATACTTTATTTTTCTGTTAGCAATTAGTTTCATTAAACAAAAGGAATTATTTACGTCAGTTAAAAATTAGAAAGTATATAACTTTATTTTATTTAAATATTAAATTTCGTATATATATATATTATAAATTAAAGTTGTGTTTGTTAAAAAGAATAACTTTAGGCTATATATAATGTAATAAATATTATTGGTGCATCTAATACTGCTATATTTTAGAAAGTCCTATTTTATAAATAACTTATTTAATTTCATAGTTAATCTTTTAGAAAAGAAATATTAGTTAATTGTATAAATTTATGTACAAAAAATGACTTTTTTCAAAATTAATATAAAAGAAATTATGATTTATATTATAGCAGTTGAAAACTAAAAATATTTTAAATATTTTTTATACTAAAAAAATAATAATAAAGATTTTAAATAAAAAAAATATTTAATAACTTAAAAATACTTTTTAAAAGTATAGTTTTTAAACAATATTAATAATTAATATAAATATTTTAAATATTATTATAAAAAAAAATGTAAATTATAGTAATTTTAATAAAAAACAAAAATATAAACAAGATTAAATAAAATAAAATAAATATATATATATATATATATATATATATTATATATATATATATATTTATATATTTATATATATTTAATTTTTTAATCTAAATTTAAGCAATAAAGAATATAATTTTTCTCATCTATTATAATAATAATTGTTTAAAATATTCTAGGTACTATTATATTTAATAGAATCTTAACTTCTATCTCTTTATTTAATAGAATCTTAACTTAAATCTCTTTATTTATTATAAATTTATTTATTTTTTAATATAAAATTGCCATTAATTTTAAAATTTTTAAAACAATAATTGTTTAATTTATTATTTTCTTTATTAATTTTATTTTAGAATTACATATCTTTTTAATTTTTTTTTTAAAGTTACTAGATATAATACAATTTTATTATTATAAATTCTTAATATTATTATTATTATCATATTTTCTTTTTTTTTAAAAGCTTTTATTATAATATTTTGATATTTCTTAATTTTTCAGATTTCCTAATTTTTATAAATTTTCTTATTCTTTGCTTTAAATTATATTTCTATATATTTACTATTATTAAATATTATTGTTTATATTTTCTTATTATTATTTATATTAAATTTGCTTATTATTATCATTTGATTTAAAATACTAATCTATTTTATTTTATATTATTTAATTAATTCTTTATATATATACGCTTTCTTTATTTATAAATATTTCTTATTTTTAATAAACATTTTCTTATTATTCCTTTTTTTCTATTTTATTTTTTTAATTTAAAGTGTTTATAAAATGACTTTTTGAACGAATTCTTGTAGAAAAACTATTATTATTTATTTTTTATTAAAGCTATATTTATTATTTTATTAACTCTTATTATTTTATTTATTCAAATTCTTAATATAGTTACCTAATACAATTTTTGTTCATATTTTGTATTTAATTATTGCTTTATTAATTTTTTTTATAGTAATTAGCCTACATAATTTTATCAAAGTATTCAAAAAAGTAATTGATATATGTATTTTATATATATTTTTTCTTTTTTGTTTGATTAACATTAGTTTTATTATTATTTAAATATTACTATTAATTTTTAAATAAATATATATTTTTATATTTATTATTAAAAAAAATAAAAATTACATTATATTCTTATTATTTAGTTTGGTTTTAAAATATACTTTTGGTATTCAGTTTATTTATTTTTAAAGTTAAATTTTCGTTTTCATTCATAAATTAATCAATATTTTAGTTTTAAATAGCTAATATCTTTTAGGTTGTTTGATTTTATAAATTCGAGTTAAATTACTATAAATTTTAATTCATTTTTAATTAAATATTTATTTTTTTTGATACGTTTAATTTAAAAAAAAACAAAAAATATATAAAAATTAATATTAAAATTATTAATATAATAATTCTCTTAACAAGAAAAATTATTTTTTTTAAATAAAAAATAAAATAAATAATAAAAAAACTAATAAAAAATTAATTAATTATATAAATAAAAAAGAAAAAAAAAACAAAAAAAAAATAAAAATAAAAATTAAAAAAATGAATTAACTTGGAAAGAAAGTAGTATAAAATTAAATTACAAGCACATCTAAGAAATACTTATCGAGTAAATCCGGAATAAACTGGAACGATTTTAACTATCCCCCATTAGTAAAAATAATCCATTACGACAGAACCGAAATAGAATATCCTCATAGAAAAATCGCAATATTATTATGGATAACACATCTTATAATTTTTACGATTTCCATTTTAAATATAATCAATAATATAGCTCAATTTTCTAATGGATCTTCCGGTCTTAGAATATTATATGCATTTATGTTTTTTATATTATTTAATCCTTTAGCTGGTTTAAATTTTTATAAAGGTCTATACGCTTTTTTAGAAGACGAATCAATATTTTTATAATATAGAATAATATCAGTTGTTTTATCTATACTATATTTTATTTTTATGATTGCTAATTTCGCTGGATTTAATGGCTTTGTCAGAATCAAATAAGTTGGTGTGTTTAGTGCTATTTTATGTATTATTGAATCCTTATTTTTTTTAGTTGTTATATGTATTAATGTTTTCCTTGTCTATAAAAGCATTAATTGGGAAGAAGGATATGCTAAATTGGTTTAAACTCATTAGTAAGTCCCAAATAATTTTGATTAAAATGTTTAGAAAAATAGAAATTGAATTTTTGTTAAAAAAAAAAACAATTTTTTTTTTGTATTTTTAAAGTAATATGGTTGCAAATTATATATATATATTTTTATTTTTTTTGGATTTTTTTTATATTTTTATATATAACTATTTTATTTTATTTGGCTTTTTATTTAGTATAAATATATAATAATATTAATTATTAAATATTATAGATTATATCAATAAAAAAAAATGTATTGATAGATTTTATTTAAAATTATTACAATTTATATCAATATTTTAATTAAAATTGTAATTGGAATAAATACAAATTATCTTTAATTATTTTTATTTGTATATACAGTTAAATAAATTAATTTTTGGTTATATTTCTATTAAAATAAAAGAAAAGAATTAATATTTATTTAAATAATCTAATATTAATAAAAAAAAATTAAAAAAAAATTATATTAATATATAATATTTTATATTTTAATAATATATATATATATATATAATATATATATATATATATAACATTAAATATATATACAATTTTAGCCATAACTAAAATAATTAAATATAAAAAGATTATTATACAAAAACATTATAAAAAATATAATAAAATTCATATTAAGAATACATTATATATATATAAATATTAAATTTTTCAACAAAAGATATACATCTATCTATCTATCAAATTTATACAATTTTAATTAGAAATAAATTTATTTTATAATTACTTATATATTTTAATTTGAATAATAATGATAATTTTTTTATTTTAAATATTTTTTACTATTATAAATATTATTTAAATAACTCTTTTATTTAATTTTTTATTATTAAATTTAAATCTATAGAATATTTTTTGAAATCATTTATTTTTTTCCTTTGTAAGAAATATATTGAGTTTTATTTTTTAAAATTGTATTTATAATTTTCCTTTTATATTTATACATCATTAGATGGGATTTTTCTTGTATTATTTTCTTTTTATCTTTAAAAAATATATTGTTTCTAATTATAATTTCAATTCTATTTATAACTTTTTTGTTTTGTTTTAAGTTTTTAATTAATATGTTAATTATTTGACTAAATAAGGAGAATTTTATTAATTTATTTTAAATTTTTTGAGATTTATACTAACATATTTAATTTTGCATTATTTATTTTATTTTAAATATTTTTTTTATGACTTTAATTTAATTTTAATAATTATATTCTATTGATATTAATTTCTTCTTCATACATATTGTTTACTCTTTAAATTTCTCGATTATTTTCATAAAATAATATAATTTATATTCATAAAAAGAGCTGATATATATATATATATATATATATATATATATATATATATATTATTTATAAAAGTTTATTAATAAAATTTATTATTTATTATTATAAAATATCTATATTTTACTTTATATATAAATTAAATATTATTACCTTTTAATTTTGTTAAACATATTACTTTATTTTATTTAAATATCCATATTTTAAAACTATATTTAGTAATTTAATTTTATTTATATTATTAATCTCTTTATTTTTAATTTAATTTTTAAATTATTAATTATTTTAATATTTATTTCATTTATAATTTTATTTTCTTAATAACTATTAAATTTATGAGATCAATATAGTCTTTTTTAATTTATTTATCCCCCATTTTAATTTTTTCCGAATAATTTTTTTTTTTTCTATTTTCCAAACTATTTCTTTTTTTTTAAATTTTATCTAAAGAATTATATATAATAAATTTAATTTTTTTAACTATTTTTAATAGTAATAGTTAATAGTATTTTTTATATAATTTTCTTTTAAAATAACAATTTTTATTTTAAATTTTATTATAATATTTTCTATCAATAGAATTTTTATGGATATTATTTAACTAAGTATCATTTATTATTATTATAAAAATTTAAAAGACTTTTAATTATTATTTTTAATATTTACAGTCTATAAAATATTAAATGAATATATATCTTAAAAATGAATTTTATTTTATAAATATATTACTTTTTTTATATTATTTTATGTTTATGAACAATATGCTTATTATAGTTAAACATTATTCTTTTATTAATTGATAATTATTATTTTAATTAATAATTTATTATTTTATAAAAACTAAATATATATATATATATATATATATATATATATATATATATATATATATATATATATATATATATATATATATTAGTTTAATTTATTTCTTATTAACTTAAAAAATTATATTATTTATAAAACAAACAATAAAATCTTTAAAGAAAATATAATTAAAAAAGAATATCGAAAAAAATTATAAATAAAAAAAGTTTATTATACATTCTCCTATATTATGATAACAAAATAAAATTAAATATATAGATAAAATAAAAGTAAACAAGTATTAATAAAAATACAAACGTTTTATATTATTAATATATTTATGAAATTTAAATTGTTATTAATAATAATATTTTTTTAATAATTATAAATTTATTACTTTTAATATTCTTCATTAAAATTTATTCGAATTTCTTATATAAAATTAAGATATATAAAATTATATTGTATTTTAATTATTAATAGAAAAAAAATATATTATTATAATTAAATATATAAATAATTATTAAACATAAAAATTTGAATTAGTATTTAGGAATTTAAAAATATAATATATATAATTATTGTATATAAAAAAATTAATTATTAAAAGAATAATAGAAATTTAAAAATAATTATAATTCAGTATATAATGACAAAAATAAAAAATATATAAGTATAAAAAAAAAAATGTAAATAGAATTATATATTATATGAAAATAAATATATTTTTAAATATACATTTTTTTTTTAATATTTATAAAATAAATTTTAAATAATAATTTAAATTTAAATTTATATAAATTTAAATGTTTTTTTGATTTTTATTGTAATATATTTTCAACATTTAATTATAATTATTTTTACATAAACGTTAATGTTCAATAATTTCTTATTATTAAAATTTTATAAAAAATAATAAAAATATAAAATAAATATACAAATAAAACAATTTCTTTAAATATTATTTTAAATTTAGTTAAATATTTATATACTTAACGATTTTCATTTTAATCGTATTTTTATTATAATTTTTATAATAATTAATAATACCTTTTTTTTTTATTATATATCTAATAATTAATATTTTTAAAATAAATATTTTTTTTATTTTTTTTTTTCATTACCCGCTTCCGCCATTATATTCTTTTAAATATAAAGATCATTTATTATCATTTTTATTCGAAAATTATATGCTTATATGATAAAAATATAGATATTAAAATCTAATAGTGTACTTTTTTGATATAAAATATTCGTTTAAATTTATTTTTATAATTTTTTTATTTTCATTTTTCTTTTTTATATTAAACAATTTGCGGATAATTTTATAATTTGAAATATTTTTTGTGTTGTATTTTTATTTAGATATTTGAAATAGTGAAAATAAACTAGTACATAATATATAAAATTAAAAAATAAAACAAAAAAATAAAACAAAATAATATTAATATTCAAGATAAATATAAACTTCTTAAATTATGATGAATACCTTCTGCATTTCTGAACACTAACCAAATGTCAATATATTAAAAGAATAATAATAAATAAACTTTAATAAAAAATCAATTACAGAAACTGAAGACAATACAAGAAACCTTTACTAGTTTGAAGAAAATAATTTACTTAAAAACAATTAATAAACTAAATAATCTCAAATTTTACCTAAATAAAAATTAATAATAAAAAAAGTATGTGTCCTTCCAAAAATAAGCAAAAAAATTAATAAAATCCTTAATAATGATTTTTTGGAAAGATCAAAAAACTATCTAAATAAACAATCTTTTAATAAAAAAACTGATTTTTCATTCTGTAAAAATTTAATATCTACAGTTAAAAAAAGCCTTGAAGAAAAAGAAGAATTAATAAATAATTAATAATAATCAAACATAACATGTAAAAAAACTAATTATAAAGAAGTAATGAAAAATATTTAATAATACTTTATTGAAAATAAAGTTAGTAATATTTTTAAACTAAACATAATAAAATACTTATTTGATAAAGAAGTACTAAATTTTAATAATTCTTAATAAATTATAGATGATATTTTACTATTATTTCCTAAATTTTTAACTTAAATTAACTCTTCAGTTTTAGGTTCAATTTTAAGACTTAATTATGATTTTGATATATAAGCTATTTATTCTTGAAATTATTTTTTATATAAAAAATATAAATTTATGTATATTATTTGTATATCTTTTGTATTATATTATTTCATTTAATAACATATTTTAATATTTTATTTTTATCTTTTTTTTTTTTTTTACACTTTTACACAATTTTTAATTTTTTTTTTTTGAAAAACAATATAAAAAGGTGTGTTAAAATTATTTATTTTAGAATAACTAAAATATATTTTGATACAAATTTAGTATATATATATATATATATAATTAAGTAATTTTACATATTTTTTTTTATTTGTATTAATTAAAATAAAAAAAAAATAACAACAAATTATTTTAAAAAAAAATTTAAATAATTTTTTTTTTTTTTTTTTCTTCTCAATTTTATAATAAATAATAATTAATTAATCATATATATATAACAATATTTAAATGGATTTAATAAAAACAAGTGGTTTTGAATAATCTTAAGATTAAATTGAAGATCTCCCTGAAAATTTATGGTCATATATAAACTTTAATTCAATATACCGTCAGCATGATTACTACGAAGCACAATTTTGTAAATATACAAATCGTAATAATTCATGGAAATCAGCTTTGTTTTTAGAATAAAATATTCTTTTAGACTTAAATCAATTAACAAATGTAAAATAAATTGAGATTGAAGATTTTAAGTACGGTTGTGAAATGTCTATTTCCATATCTTAAGATTAAACAGGACCATATATAGATATTTATACTAAGAAGTATTTTTGTAGAGCTACTAATAAAAATATTAGTATTTCTAATTTACCTTGTAAATATATTAAAATAAAGGTAAGTAAAGGTGTCCATTTAAATATTCATAATATTAAAATAGTTGGTATTATTTCTGAAGAAATAATTAAATTATTAGGAGTTGATTATTTTAAATTAATGGTTACAGGACCTTAGAGATTATTCTATATTTGAATTTTTAATATAAACATTATATATTATTTTTTTTGTATTCTATTAATTTAGTTTATTTATTTTTTCTTCCCTTTTATGATTAACTTTATATTATTACTTTTTATAAAAATAGTATATATGTATATATATATATATATAATAAACATAAATATTTAATAAAAAACGTGAAAAAAAAAAAAAATAATTAAATTTTATATTATTCCATAATTAAAAAATAATAATATTATATAACAAATATATTTTACATATTTATAAACAAATTAATACTTAAAATACTCACTAATAATAAATAAAAGTATACTTATGTTCTGTATTCGAGCAATATAATTCTTATTAATGGGCTAAAATGAATTTACCCACTAAGCATTTATAACAAATTCAAAAGAATTTAACGAAAAAGACCTACAAGTAGACTTATATGGTCAACATATAATAATAACTGGTGCCAATAGTGGTATAGGTTACCATTGCAGCCTTATAACTTATAAGAAAAGGCGCATTTATTCATTTACTTTGTCGAAACAAGAACCGAGGATAGGAAGCCTTAAAAAAATTAAAAGTAGAAGCCTAAAAACTAACTGAATAAAATACCGAATAAATAGCTTAAAACGAAATAACAATTAGCAAAATGAAGCAAGAAGATAACTTAATTAATAATTCTTAAAAAATAAATAATAATTATTAAAATAATTGTAGTCTTCATCTAGTAGATATGGCCGACTTAGATTCCATTAAAGATTTTGTAAATGAATTCTTAGCCCTAAAAGTACCTTTAAATGGTTTAGTGCATAACGCAGGATGTATGTACCATGAAAAAATGGTTACTTAATATAATTTAGAGTATAATTTTACCGCAAATCTAGCCGGTCCATATTTTATGACTGAACTTTTCATGCCTTTACTTCATGAAACTTTCAAAAAAACTAAATAAGCGAAGGTTATTCTAGTCGCCAGTGGAGGTTAATACACCTAACCTTTAAGATATGATGATTTTAATATGGACAAAATCAAAAACTTTGATGGTAGAGATATGTATGCAGTAAATAAAAGATAATAGGTGGTCCTTTGTGAAAAATGGACTGATGTCTATACCTAAAAAACTGGTGTTTAGTTTTTTTCTATGCACCCAGGATGGGTTGATACACCTGTTTTACCTACTGCTATGCCTGGATTCTATTAACATTATAAAGAAGTATTAAGAAAATGCCCGGAAGGATCAGATACTATATAGTGGCTTATTTGTATGAATTCAGAAAAGTTAATCAGTGGGGAATTCTATTTCGATAGGAAAGCTTAAAGTAAGCATTTGAAATGTTGCGCATATACATAACATAATAAAAAGGAAGTGGATTTATTTTATGAAAATCTTAAAAAAGCATTGAAATGTGTTATGTGAATACTTTTTTATTTTATTTTTAAATGAAGAAATATTTAATAATTTATTTTTAAATCTACTTTTTTGAACTTATTTATAAAAATATATTCTTATATGTAATATATTTTATATTTATTTTAATTGTTTATTATACTTTGGGATTATAATAATGTGTTATATGTAAATACATAGTGAAATTTATTTAAAAATTAATTATATTATTATAATATGTATATATTATTTTTAATTAATAATATTTTTTAATATAATAATTATATATATAATAAAAAATTTCTTATTTGCTTATTTATTTTAATTTTTATCATTATTATAAAATAAACAATATTTTTTATTTATAATCGAAATATTTATTCAAAATATAATCAATTTTTTTTAATAATTTAATATCTTTTTTTTTTTTAAATATATTTTACATATATAGATAAATATATAAATATTTTCATTTAATATTTTTTACAAAAATTCATATTATTAACTTCAACTTCCTCTAGATTTCGTTTTTCCTTTAAATCCTCCTCTACCTTTATCAAATTTATCTTTAAATCCACCTCTAGGTTTATCAAATCCTCCTCTTTGCTTATCGCTTTTTTCTATAAAAATACATTTTATATTTTATTTACAATTAAATAATAAAATACTTTTAACTGTCTTATCTTTATCATTTCCATCTTTATTTTATTATTAATTTGCTTATTAACATTCCTTTTTTTATTTAATTTTTAATCTAGCTTCTTCTTTTTATTCATTAACTTTTTATTTAATATTTTTCCTAAATAAAATATATATATTTTTTTGTTTAAAAATACAAATTTCAGCTTCTTCAATTGCTTTATCTACACAAGCTTCATCCTTTTTAAATTATTTTTTTAAAAAAATTAAGGCTTAATATTTATAACTAATTTTGTAAAAATATTTACAAGTTAAAAGTATTTTAATGTAGAACCTTTAATATAAATAATATTTATTTTCATAGAAGTTAAATTATCCTATTTATAAAATTATTTTTACATTAATAAACAATAAAATAAATGCTACTTTTGATACGAAAGTAACATCAGATAATTTGATGTTCATAAATTTATCTAAATCTTCTAAAAATCCATTATATGTATCACCACTTTTAAGTTCTACTAACTTTATTTTTTAATAAATAAATGATTATATGTTTTTTGTAAAAAAAAGATATTTAAAAGAAAAAAAAATTATTACAACAGAAGCTTTTTTAGCAGCTTTTAATATGTTTAATGGAAACTAAAAATTTAAAAAATATAAAAATAATTTTATGTATAATATAAATACTATATTCATTTTTTTTAATAATAATTATGTATTAAAAATATAATATATATAATTATTATAAATATATATATATATATATATATATAATTTTTTTTATATTTATTTTTAAATATATATTATTTATTTAAGTGTCTAATATATAAAATAATATATTTTTATTTTAAATATATTTTTCTATTCATTTATTAATAATATAATTATTTTTACAATAAATAATAATTTCTTACTAAAAATAATATTTATTAAAAAAATCTATAAAAATAAATAATATATTTCAATCATTTACAGTACTATATAAATAATTATTATGTTTTATATATACTATAAAATAAAAAATATTATTAATTAAATATAATAAAAAATATAAAATAATATTTTTAAATATCTATAATTTATTTTTATTTTTAATATAAAATTTAAATATTTAGTATTTTATATATTTTATTTTTCATCTATTTATAAATAAAAAATACAAAATTTATGATTATAAAAATCAATACAACTAGAAACCCTATTTTATCCAATTTTTATATCAATTACTGTAATAATGGTTTTCAGTGCATTATTTATATTAATTTTTTCTTTAAGAAATTTATAAATAAAAATACACATGATTATTTCTGACTAAAATTACTATCGTGTTTATAATTAATTTAAATATTTAATTAACCACGATTTTTAATCGCTTGCTATAAAATTAAATATTTTCTAGGTTTTTAATTAACTATCCGCCTTTAACACTTTCATTTACCAAAAATACTATTATTACTACATTAAGGGTAATTCAGGAGACGAAAAAGTCGTTTTTTTAAACATATTTACTAAGAAAAATACATAGAAAAATAAAATAATCGAGCTTTAATATAATTAAATTGAAAATTTTTCGTCTCTACAAATAACATAAATGACGAAAAATAAACTAAAGAAGTTTATCAAAAAAAAATATTTTTAGGTTAGTTTTAGTTATTTATATATAAAAAAAATGACAGATATAAATTCTTTAATTAAGCATTCTTTTTAGTATAGTAAATAACAAATATAGTACTTAAAAAAAAAATATGCTCTATTTGCTTGCAATCTATTTTTGTTAATTACAGCTATATCAGGTTCTAGTTTACATAAAAATTCGGTATAAAATCAACTAATAATAATGTTCTTTAAGTTATGCTTTTATATTAATATAATTGATTGTAGTTTCTATATAGAATATTAAAGATACTAAAGTTATATAAGTTAATATTATTATGATTAATTTATAATATAATAGCTGCTTCGATTGCTCTATAGAAAATTTTGTATTGATTTTCGGTTGTGATATTTTTTTGAAAAAGAATGTATTAGTATAACTGTACTTAATAATTGAACAAGAAATATTAAAACTAATTTAATTAGTCTGAATAGTATATAATTAATTAACTAAAGGCTTTACCTTTAAATTTTATAAGTTCGTTATAAGGTATTTAAAAAAAATTAATACTAAAACTAAATATGAAAATTACAATATATAGATAGTAAAAATTAAATAAAGGATAAACTAAATTAGTAATAAAATTATATATTATAAATATTTAAAAAAAATAAAATATATTCTTATGTAAAATTATATTCATATATAAATTATAAATTTATTTTATTCATTTTTATGATTTTCTAAAAGAAAATAAAAACATTTAAGCTTAAATATCTTTTTGTTTTTCAGAACTTATATATTATTACATTATATTATCATATTAAGTTTAAAGATTAGTAATTATTTATTAAAAACTTAAGTCATTTATGTTTATTTAATCAATTTATTATTATATTTATTTACTCATATATTAATTAGTACCTTAATAATATAAATTATTTATATTATTCCCTAAATTTTAAATAGTTTATAATTTGGAATCAGTAAAATTGTAATCAATTGAGTTTGAACTATTATAATCCTATATAAAAATAAAACTAATAAAAAAAAAAAAATTAAGTAAAAAAAAATATGAAAAAATAAAATAAAAAATAAAATAAATAATAATAATAAAAATAATAATAAAAATAATAATAATATTATTTTTATATAATAACATCTTCATTTTT